AGGGAGATTTTACAGAAGAGGCCAGTGGCCCAGAGCTGTCACCAGCTGCAGGGTCCTCTTAATGTCATCCATAGTCTCTGAGGCTGAAATGACAGGGCCTTTGAAGAGGCATAGGAAAGTGGCACATGGCACCTACTCCATTGTCCTCAGTCCCTCCAAGACCCTTCTCATGGATGTGTGTGGAGGCTCACACTGGCAGAAGCCTGTATCCATGAACACAAGCCCATGAGGGGCTGAACTAAGAGAGGATTTGGGGTTCTGTTTGTTTTTTGTACTCAAACAGGGTGTCTTCTGCTTTGCTCTCTGTTGTAATCACAGTGACTAAAAGTAACTCACAGGAAAGGGCTTATCTGGCTTACAGATCACAGTCTGTTAAAGAGAGAAGCCAAGACATGAACCTGGAGGCAGGAACTGAAGCAGAGTCCAGAGTAACACTGCTCACTGGCTTGCTTCCAGGCTCCCATTCAGCTGTCTTTCTTACACAGTCAGGACCCATCTGCCTAGAGATGGTGCCACAACGGTGGGCAGGGCCCTCCGGTATCCAATTAGCAGTTAAGAAAACGACCTACAGATACGCCCACAAGCCAGTCGGGGGAGGCAGTTTCTCAACTGAGGTTCCCTCTTCTCGGATATGTCAAGTTGCCAACTGAAGCTAGTTATGACAGGGTCTTCTGTAGCCCAGGCTGCCCTGGAAATCACCATGTAGCTGAGGCTGGCCTTGAACTTCTGATCCTGTTGCCTCTACTCCCAATGGCTGGTATTACAGGCATGTACCACCACACCTGGTTTACAAGGTGCACCTAGAGTTTGGAGCATGCTGGGCAAGCAGTCTGATAACTGTGGTACTTCCTCAGCCCCTAAAGGATGTGTTTTAAAATCAAAACCGTATCTAATAACATGAGCTATTTCTGGCTTGTGGAGCTATGTTTTTAGGAGCAGAACCTGAAAACAAGTAATAAACACTTCCACTAAATTCCTTGCCTCCACCACCCCTTCTCTTGTCAATATCTGGTCAAAACATAACTGTTTTTATTTCTTGTTAGTTTTAAGAAACAGCTCCATCTCCCCAAAAGCATGGTGAAGTTTTCTCGTTGGTTTTAAAGATTCTTCCTAGTACGCTTGGAGTCCAGGGTTTTGAGTGCAGTTGGAAAAAAGATCTATAGAGAGGCTATGTTTGGACAGGTATTGAGTGTAATAAACTATATTTAAATATTTATATGTAGAATTATTTTTTTTATGGTGCTGTTCTTTAAATCACTGAATAAGGTCCTATCATTTCTCCAAAAGATACATGAGCCCTGTCTGTTTGCGTATAGATCATTTCGGTCCATGAAGGGTGTTCTCAGCTTAAAAATGATTTCTCCACACCATCCTTTACGCAGTTCGTTACCGTGTCTAGCATTTTACCCTGCTGTCTCTCAGTAATGCTTGGAGGGGTTCTTCTGAAAATAGTACTATCTGCAGGAGTCTGGGAGCAGAAAGAGCCAAGAAGAAAAGCCGCTAGCTCGGTCCAGCTGTCCCTCGGCTGACCCCACCTTCTCTGAGCCCCTGAAGGGGCTCGGGGCTAAGAGAAATATTTGGCTCTTCGCTTCTTCTGAGAGTGTTTGAGTTGTGTGATTTCTAGTTCCCACTTGTGCCTTCGAGGCTTCTTTGCTTTGTCAATTTGAAGAGCCTTGTCTATTCCCAGGAGTTATTCTGATAACAACCATTTGTTTTTTAGATTGATTCCTATGAAGAGCATCAGAAATCTCGCCCAGAACTGTGTGGGAGCTGCCACAGTTCTCAGAGTGGGGTCCTGTGTGCTGGCCTGGAGGGAGTTTTCTAGGTATAGGGTAGAACATACCCAGCCACCTGACCCACCACAGGGAGGAGGGCTTGGCTGCCAGACAGGTATTGGTCCATCCACCTTCCAAACACGGGGAGACTTCCCCTCCTCCCAACCTTGTGTTGTTGGCATGGCTGTGCCTCTTGGTTTAGCCAGTGACAGATGAGTGGAAGTGAATGGGCACTTTTCAAATGGTTGAAGTTGGAGTCTCACTCTCTCCCCCTCCCCCCCACATTCCTTTTCGTGCCCTGACCATTTTGAAGTATGTGTGCAGCCAAGCTTCTATCACTGTAGCTCCGAGAGCTCCACACTCCCCAGCAGAGCTCCCAGGGCCATTCAGTAGTATCAGTAAATAAGCCCTCTTTGTTACTACAACAGAGCTGAACCTGTCCTCACAGATGGAGGCCAACACAAGCTGGTGGACGCAGGAAATGTGACATTCTCCCACCATAGATGGCTCTTTCACATTGTCCTGGGTATCCTGATGTTCCCAGGGACAGCTGGCCTCAAGAGAAGCTGGCTTGCCAATATCTAATATGTAAGTGATCACTGTCCACAGATAGAAGATACAAGTGGGGAGGGAGAGGGGCTGGTGTCCTTAGTGCCCAGGGCACTCCCACAGGGAATGTGCAAGCTTGTCAGCAGGACAGAGGGTGTGGCTATGCTCAGTGTTACTGGAAGAGATCATTCTAGCCCGGCTTCAGTGCTCTCACAGATTTTAGAGTGATTTATATGAAAACAGTTTCAAGCATTTACTAGCTGTGAGAACTAATTTCCAATAAATCAGACAGGATTCCCCTGGGAACCAGAAATAAACGAGGGCAGAAGAAATTGCTAAGGGTTGTTGAGCAATAAAGAGATGGGTTCTAGATATCGGAAAATGATATTTAAATGGACAAAGTTGATTTAACTGTCCTTTTTCATGTCTGCGGTAAGATTTAAATCTACAGCATGCCATTATAAGCAGGAATTATTTACCAGGATGCATTCAGCATTGTGAGGGTAGACCGCCAGACTGCTGTGTTAATATTTTGATTCCAGTTCTGAGTCATGATGAAAAGGCATTAATTACAAAGTCTGTTCAAAAAAGTTTCTAGAGAAAGTTCAAACTTGGTACGTAAGGCAGAGCTTTTATTATCTCATTTCAGTCATTTTTTTTCTAATGATGTCTCAGAAAATATTTCATTATCTTGAAGTTTATAAGTATGTGTTAAACAGGGCATGGTTGCCTGGCATTGTGTTATAAACCTTGGAGAATAGAAAAGAAATAGAGTGAATTATCTATCTATCTATCTATCTATTTATCTATTTATCTATCTATCTATCTATCTATCTATCTATCTATCTATCTATCTATCTATCTATCTATCTATCGTCATCTATTTCTGTCTGTATTTCCATTCATCTATCCACCCATTCTGAACTGCAGAAATATGTACTTCCTGGAAGGTTAAGCATGATGTCAACTTGGATAGTAAACTAGATGTGGCTACAACAGGAGGGAGGGGAAGGGTTTTTTCCCCTCTAGGTTGGGACTGGCAGGGTTCTTTCAGTAGTCCTGAAAAAGCATCATTGGGGTTTCCAAAGACAAGGCCTCAGCCATAAGCAGTTGTGGGAAGCCCACTTCATGCATGCAGACATTCCTCCTGGCTGACGTGGTCTGTGGTAAGATCTACCCACTTGACCAGAACTGAAAGAGAAGAAAGAGAAGCTTACTGTGTGTAGTGGAGTACAGTGAGCAAGCAGTAACAGCAGTTCTGCCAGTGCCTGGCTGGGGACTAGCGGGGGACTGGACAAGTCCACTGTGGAGGCATCCATAGAAGGTTAGGGTGAGCCACTTTGCATGTAACTTCCCATCATGACCTCCCCGCCATGCAAACGAGGGCTGCCCTGTGGAACTAGGTTGGGGTTGGTTTTGTCTGACCATGCCATCCTGCTGGTCCACTGTCTGGGTGGGTCAGAGCAGATTTTCTGTTCTGAGGTCTCTGTGGACCCGGATTACACTGAAGACCAATCCCCTTCCTGATCTGTCAGTCACGGCTTTCCTTTCACAGCTGCACGGCATATCCTGAGGATTGATGGCTTCCTGGGTCCCGAGGAAATGGTCGGGCTTCCGGGAGCCAGTGTTCAGTGTGGTCTTGGGTGGGGTGAGGACAGAGGAAAGAAAGGCTTTGCAGGGCTGGCCTCTGTGGTCAGCTTGTCCCCGACTGTCTCAGTGATGCTGTTTCCTTGGTGGGAAGACAGAGGGGAGGCAGCAATCTTGTTAAATTCCTTTGGCAGCATTCGGCAGGACAGCTCACATCCAGCACAGTGTCACAGCGTGGATGACAGTGCAGGACTGTCTCAGTAAGTCCCTTGTCCGTGATGAGTCCCAGACCCAGCAATGCAGTGTCTAAGCAGGACTGTGTGTGTGCTGACCCTGACCATTGGGGTGTGTGCCTTAGGCGCCCCACAAAGCCACCTGCCACCTGCTCTCGGGTGGGACCCTGACTTTCAGGAATCGCCTCTTGCAATGCAATGGGAGCTGCAGGCGGCCAGAGTACCTTACTGTGTGGCTGTCACCCTGAAACAGAATCTGGGTCCTGTTCCTTTAATGTCAGTCCTTTATTCAAACGCCTGTGGTGTTCGTGGCACCACCTCAGAGTCCCCACACCTCTGTGGTCTCACTACCAGTCACTCCCAGCTCACTGGCCAAGTGGGCATCTTCCAGGATCTCCAGGGTGTGGGTGGCAGGCATTTCATCCGGCCGTCTCTGACTGTGTGCTGTTGTTTCTGACTGGTGCCAATGTCCCGATACCCAGAGCTTCCCTGGTTCCCTCTGGTCCTCACTCAGTCTCCCTCCCTGGCCACCCCATTTCATCCTCACCTTTGACCTTCTTTCCTCTGAAGTGCTGACTTCCTGTTGACACACATTTCCACTTGTCAGTCTTCCTCATTGACTTCCTTCCCACAAGAGAGAGGCCTTGGTTTCCCTCCTTCCTTTTCCAAGCTGAGTACAAGCTCACCTTCACCCAAGATTCTCGCCCTGCAGGGTTGCTAGGGGAACAAGTGGGAGCTGCCTTCTCTTGGATGGGCCTCCAGACCCACCCACCGGGACTTCCCTCCTGATATTTCCGAAGGCCCACGAAGCTCTTGTTCACAGAGCATGACTAATAACAAAATCGGGAAGTTAACATTGATACATCATCATTATTTAATCTCCATATCAATTGCCCCATTAATGTTCTTCACGGCAGATGAAGGAGGTTGCTGTCTTGGATTTTGGTCCAGGAGTCCAGCCAGGGTGACAGCTTTGTTGAGTTATCACATTTCCTTGATCTTGAAAGCCAGATTCTCTGTCTGGAGTCGAACCTTTGGGGAATAATGGTATTTGTAAAATGCCCCCTTGCTTCTGGTCTGTTTGACACTTTCTTGTGGTTGGATCCGGTCACATAACGTTGCTCAGTGCACCACACAGGGAATGTGAGCTGTTTTCAGTCCATCTTTTCTGGGGTTCCTGGTACCTACTGCCTTCTTCCTGGTTGGTGTTACCTGATCGATCGCTTGATTAGGATGACCTGACAGGCTCCTGCACTTCCTGTATTTTCTGGCTTAAAAACAGAACAAAAAAAAAAACCTGATAAATATCTTATGAAGTGATACTTGGGGAGTTTATGATTATCATGTTTCTTGTCAAACTGAAAGCAGTTTTATGAGCGATTTTATTGTAGTATAACTTATCTACTGTATAATCCACACATTTAGATCACTTATTTTGTTTTATGTGTGTGGGTGTTTTGCGCACATGTATGTCTGTACACCACGTGTGTGCTTCATCCCCTACAGAGGCCAGAAGAGGGCGTCAGAGGTCCTGGAACTGGAGTTACAGATGCCTGTGAGCTGCCATGTAGGTCCTGGGAACTGAACCTGGGTCCTCTGAGCCAGTGCTCTTAAGTGCTTAGCCATTTCCCATCCTTTAATCCACCCATTAAAGTGCACGCGTGAGATGGGTTGTAGTGTAGTCACAGATAAGGCTACTATTAACGTTTTCGTCACTTTAGGGAAATACCCCACGTCACTTACTGTCACTGTACAGTCCCCCCATCCTCAGTCCTACCCCCAACCCTATGCAGCCGTTAATCTACCTTCAATATTAATTCAATTTAAATTCACAACCCTTATTGTGAACTTAAATTTGTTGAGTGTGTTATATGCGTGGTGTGTTGTGGTGTGTGTGCGTCTGTGCACACCTGTGTGTTTGTGGGAGGGTCAGAAGTGGATAGTGGATGTCTTCCTCATTGCTCCCCACCCTACCATTTGAGACAGGGACTTTCACTGAGCCCAGAGCTCACTGATTTGCCTAGGCTGGCCGGCCAGTGAGCTCCAGGGATCTGCCTGGCACCATCGCCCCAGCTCTGGGGCTACAGGTGTGTGTCACCAGGCCTGGATTTTACATTGTGCTAAGGATCTGAAATAGGGATCCTCCTGGTGGACATTTCACGCACTGAACCACACCCCCAGCTCTCTGTTGTGAACTTTTGTATAAATTAAATTATGTAATAGAAGACTAACTTCCTTTTGTGGCATTATTTTTGTTACATTTTATTTATTTTAGATACATTATTTATTTAATGTATATGTATCTAATACACGCACACACATATGTATGCATGTGCCATGGCACATGTGTAGAAGTCAGAGAATGACGTTTGGAGTCAGTTCTCTCTTTCTACCATGTTGGACCTGGGATTTAAACTCAGGTGGTCAGTCTAGGTGGCAGGCAGACTTACCCACAGGGCCAGCTTGTTGGCCTTAGCATAATGTTTTACTAGGTCCATGCAGGTTGTAGCATTTATCAGTACTTTATTCCTTTATAATTGTGTGTGTGTGTGTGTGTGTGTGTGTGTGTGTGTGTGTGTGTGTGAAAGCATGTGCGTGTGTATAGGCCGGAAGTCAACCTCAGATATCATTATTCAGGCACTATCCACCCTATTTTTTGAGACAGAGTTTCTCACTGTGACCTAAATCTAACTGATTAGGGATGGGCTGGTGGCCAGTGAGCTCAGGGATCTACCTGTCTATCAGCCTCCCAAGCTCTGGGATTCCAAGCACCAGCCACCGTGCCTGGTTCTTTATGTGAGTGCTGGGAATCACACTTGTGTCCTCACACTTCCGTGACAAGCACTTTACCAACTGAGCCTTCTCCCCAGCCCACTTAATTCCTTAACCTGCTCAACTAAAGCCTGGTCGTGCAGATCCAGCAGAAGCTGTCCATCCACTCCTCAGATGATGGCCGTCTGTGCTGTTTTCACCTTGAGGTGGACTGGCTGGGGCACGTAGTTGCTCAGTACTTATATGTGAGGAATGGCCAGGCCAGGACTATTTTCCAAGTGGAGGTCCCCCATTCACACATCCATCAGTGGCAGGTACAATCCCATTTTTCAGCCGTGGTTGCTGACTGACACTTTCATGCTGTCACAGAGTGCACTGTGACATCCCACCATAAGTTTGATAGCCTGTCCCTGGGGGCAGTTGACTCCCGAGTTCTTTGTGGGTCTTTGCATATCTTCCTTGGAGAAATGCTTGTTCTGATTCTTTGCCAATTCTTTCTTCTTTATCAGCTTTTTATGATCAAGTTGTTGGAACTCTTTGAGAAGTCAAAAGATATAAGTTCATTACTAGCCACATGATTTGAGAATGTTTCTCCTATTCGTTGGGTTGTTTTCCTCGTCTCCATCCTCCTTGTCTTCCTCCTCTTCATCCTCTTCCTCTTCTGTTGCCTTTGAGGCACAGAAGTTCTTTTGATGGAGTCCAATGTATCTATTTTTAATTTTGTTGTCTGTGCTTTGGTATCACAAATGTTGAGTGTTTGGGTCCTGAAGATTGGCACCACTGTCTCTTACAAATGTCTCGGCCCTTGCACTTGGCCATCAAGCCATCAGCGCGGTCAGCTTCGGCACGTGGTGTGAAGTCAGCGTCTAAGGCTTTTGTCCGGCAGATATCTGCCCCAGCTCCATGGTTAAGAGAGAAAAGTCTCTTCTTTGTGACTGGTTGGTGTTAGCGTCTTGTTGAAAGTCGGGTTGGCAGAGACAGGGCTTCGTCTCTGGCCTCTTAGCTCTGTATGTCTGTCCTGGTATAAGTTTTACATGTTTCGTAGTCAGTTTTGAACTTGGGAAGCACAAATGCTATGGGGGGCGGTAAGTACATATGTGTGCAGGATATGTACATACGTGTGCAGTGTGCAGATGACCTGCGTGTGGAGGCCAGAGGGAGATGTCTGGGGTCTTCCTCAGTGACTCTCCACCCTTTGAGACAGGGGCTGTCCCTGAACCTGGAGCTTACAGATTGTCTAGACCAGTGGGCTGGCCAGCTCCAGGAACTCTCCCATTTCCTTGGCACTTGGTTTGTCCAGCTTCTTATGTAAATGTTAGGGATTTGAACTCAGGTGGTCATGTTGTGCAGTAAGCAGTTTATACACTCAGCCATTCCCCCAGCATGGTTGTTCTTTTTTAAAATATTGCTTTTGCTGTTCTGTATCCCTTGTGATTATAATATGAACTTTGGAATCAGCATGGCAGTGCCCACAGAGTGGTCAGAAGGCATTCAGCTAGGGATGCCTGTGTCACAAAGCAGTGTGGGGAGTTCCGCCATCTCACCGTGAGCCCTTTGGGTCATAAACAGTAGCATATTGTTTATTTGCTCAGTGCCGTGTGTTTTCCTCAGTCCCTGAGTATTCTGTAGTTTTGATGCGTTTGTGAATGGGGGTGTTTTTATGAGTTTCATTTGCTGATATTTCATCAAAGTTACATAAGAGTACAACTGGGTTCTCTGGCTTGACCATGCTTCCTGCATCTTGGGGAATCCATTTATTAGCTTTAACAGGTTTTAGTAGATTTCTTCGGGCTTTCCTCTGTCAAAGATCACGTCTGTAAAGAGACTCAGTTTTTATTTTTTGTCGTACACTTTGGATGTCCACTGTTTTTCTGATGGGAGCCTCCGAAGCCTTGCTGAGCAGAGAGGTGGTGAGAGTGGACGTCTTTGTTTGCTCTTGGCCTAGAGGGAAACCCTCATGTCTCACCTCTCAGGACAACGTAAGCCTCAGAGGTTTGGTAGGTGCCCTTTTAGGGCTGAGGAAGCAATCTTCTAGTGGAAGCTTTTTCTCATCAAAACCTATCAGGCTCTACAAATGCTTCTTCTGTGCCTGTTCAGATTGTCACACACCTTTGTGTTTAATCCACTAGTTGTGACATAAGACTTAAGTCAGTTTTTAGGAGCTAAACCAACCTTGAGTTCCTAGAATAAATATCATTTACTCATCATTATAATTTCTTCATTACTTATTTGTGTGTGCCTGTGTGTGTGTGTGTGAGAGAGAGAGAGAGAGAGATACACATACACATACAGAGAGAGAGAGAGAGAGAGAGAGAGAGAGAGAGAGAGAGAGAGAGAGAGAATGCACACACAATAAAGAGTAGCTAACAATCTACTCCTTATATATGAATCCATGTACAACACGATTTTTATTGCCCGAGGTCCTCATGGTGTACACAGAAATCTCTAGACTTATATTCATGCTTTACATCTGCTGCCTTTGATTCTTAGACCTACATCCCTCAGTCCTTCCTCCCACTTCCCACCACTGTCAATCATTGTTGAATTCTCTGTTTCTGTATATTTGGAGGTTTTAGGTTGCGTGTGTAGGTGACATCACTGACATCTTCTGTCAGTGGCCTCTTTATTATCCCCTGACACATACACCATCCATGTTGGGGCAATTGGAAAGACTCATTCTATGTTTAGGGCTGACTAGTATTCTCATATATGTGAACATGTGCATGCACATCATGCTCTCTTTATCCTCTAACAGATGCTCAGGTCACCTTCACATACTGATACTGTGGTTAAGGCTGCCGTGAACATGACGCCTCAGTGTCTTTGTGAAGTGTTGATTTAATCTCCCTTGAGTGTATGCCCAGAAGGAAGATTGTTCGACTCCCTGGCAATACTCTTCAGAGACCCCTATGCTTTACAGCAATGACCATGCCCAAAGTTGTTCTTTTGCATTCTAGAGATGTGTGCTAGGTTTGTGGTTGTGATGACTGTGCACTTCAGGCCTTTTGTCGTTTCCTGGTCAGCATTTTATTTGTTCTATTCATTATTGAAATCAGAGCTTTGAAGTCTCCAAGGACTGTAGTTGAATTGCCCAACTCTGTTAGTTTTCTTCTTTGTGTGGTTGTTGCTGATATCTGGGGTGTGTGTGTGTGTGTGTGTGTGTGTGTGTGTGTGTGTGTGTGATTGTTACAACCTCCCAAAGAACTGAATGGACCTCTTCAACTCTGTGAGGTGATTCTTCTTGTATCTGGTAACATCCTTTGTTTTTAAGTGTTGAGACACTGATGTAGCCACTCCAGTGTCCTTCCTGTTTATAGTGATACCTTTTCCAATTCTTTTATTTCATTCTTTTTGTATCTTTGATATTGCATACATCTGCTGTGTATTTATTTATTTGTTTGTTTGTTTTTTGAGACAGGGTTTCTCTGTGTAGTTTTGCACCTCTCCTGGAACTCACTCTGTAGACCAGGCTGGCCTCGAACTCACAGAGATCCGCCTGGCTCTGCCTCCTGAGTGCTGAGATTAAAGGCGTGTGCCACCACCACCCGGCCTTTATTTTTACATAGCCCTATGTCACTGACTTTCTCTGTCCCTGAATTTGTAATTTTACATTACAGTAAGAAAACTTTGGTCTATACCCAGATTGTTGAAATTGATACATTTTTCTAGTATTTCTGTAGTTTCCTCTTTTAAAATTTGCAACTTTGACTAACTTGGGGTTTATGCTCTGGTTTTTTGTGAGGTGTGTGTGGATCTAATTTTATCTTTTTCTTAATTGTTAGCATGTTGTCCTAGCAACAGTTATTAACAAACAAACGAACAACCCCATCACTTCCGAAGGGGCTCTCGCAGACCTGAGCATGGCAAACATGGCTCTGGCAGGCCTTGCCCTTCCCAGATTTCCTCTTCCTTGCTAAAAACCAGTAGATTACACTCATAAAGCCAGCCACCAAGGTCTATTCCCTTATTTAGCCACGTCCTCCCCCTGAGGCTGACTGCCAAGGTCCAGCTATCAGAGTATCGAAGTCCAGCAATCAAGAGCCCCCTGTGACTAACCTGATTAACATATCCAATCAAAATCAACCACCTCATCCTAACACAGGGTTTCCCTTTATAAACTCATTTGCCTACGGGTCACGCCTGTCTCCTCTCTGTCCAGAGGCAGTCCTCTGTCCCTCTGGGGCAAACATCCCTTCTCCCTTGTTTATTCACCTTCTCCGTCATCCTCCACCCCCTGTCTTCGTCTCTATTCCCTGCCTTTGTCCCTCGGAAGCAAATAAATCTCCTCTGTGCTGAGAACTTGGTCTTGGGGTGTCTTGTGCCAATCATGGTCCTAGCAGTGGCCTGAGAGCTGCACTTGGTCTACACTGACCTTCCAACTGCAGTTGGGTGAGCACCCACCCTTAGTTTTCTGCTCCACATCTCAGGCAGGGGAGTTGCTGCTTTAATTATGGCTGCCTTGTGGCAGTGTCTGAGAGGAGCTGTGCTTCTGAGACACCAGAGTGACACTTATACTTCTCACTGTTTTTCAAGATATTCTTAAAGTTTATTTTCCTGCATGAACTTTTAGTATTGATTTGTGTAGCTCCATGGATGGAATTCAATTTGTAAATCAGTTCAAGGACAAGTGGTCTCCTTAGGACATTGAGTCACTCATCCAAGAACAGCTCTTACCTACCCATGTCTTCAAGAGCACGTTCATGCTTTGTGTTAGTTTGCACATTTTCTTCTTAGAAGTTTCACAATACCCAGTAAGTTTACTCCTGCATATTTTATCTTTGTTGGAACTGTAAGTGGGATTTCTGCATATTGTTGACTTCTGAAAGTCAGTTTTTATGTCCCCACTTACGACACTGTTCTTGTTTGATCTCTGAATGTGGGGTTTCCCAGGGTTTTTTCTTTTTTAAACCAATATCAACTTCTTTCAGTCTTCAAATTCTGTCAATTTCCAGGGTAGCAGATGGTGGAGAAGCATGCTTTTTTAAGACTCTTCTTGAGTTCTTGAGTTATTAATTCCAGCCCAAATAGCCCCTCCCTCTGTGGATGTGGTTTCCGGGGGTTGTGCCTTCTGTAGCCCACTGATTCTTTGGCTGCCCCTGGGGCTCAGATGTAACTGGCTCCTTTTCCATGACTCTGACAGGCGCTTCTACAAAACCTGAGCACTGAGGGCACCTGTGTGTCATGTCAGCCTCAGGACGGGACTCGAGGAGGGAGTTCTGGGCTGATGTGTTCTGATTGGTAGCTGCAGTGTAAGTGTCCACACTAGCAGTCACTGCATTGTGACTGCACCTGGTACCTTGCTGGACTCTGTATAGACGTTAGTGATG